TGAGCTAAAAAAATATCTTCTAATTTGAAGACACAATTCAATAGTCTACCGTGGTCTCTACTCCACTATTGCTCTCAGCAGTGGGTTGTGAGCTGTGTAATCTCTTACACGGTATTTTGTATCCAATCGACTTGTTCTCACGCTGCTGTTAAATTCGTACTCCTTAAGACGGCTTTAAGAATCACTATCATGTCCAATTTAGTTCAATGTTATGAAGAGAACCAAAATCTTTATCAATGCTTGCATGGAATTCTAACTTTTTCTTAATATTCCATACATTTGAACATTGAATATACGATTATATTCTAGAGATTCTTTTGAGAGAGCGATCCAATTTGTCGATTGTAAGGTATTAAAATCATGTAGTTATAAGGAATACGTTTTTGAATAGATCCTATCGTTTCCGGGTGCGAGATTAAACCGTCTGAAAGAAAATAAAAACGGTCGGATCTGGGGGTTGCAACCGAATCGAAAACGGAAGGAATATAATTCGGATCCTGCTCCCGTGAAAAGGCGTCGGAGTCCTTCTCAGGAACCATTGCCGAAACGGCACTGGGATCCTGACATTTCATCCGGTTGCAGGAATCAGCAGGGAAGAAGCCATAACCGGTTCTGGAATACTGCTTCCAATGTTTTTGCCAGAATTTCACCGGAACCAACAGTTTCCCGCCGTACCGCTTGGGCCTAGGAGCCTATCGAGAAGGAAAAATGGGATTCAAATATGAAGAACTGGAATCTAAGTAGACTTGATCATTTATTCATAAAGCGCTTTAAACGATCTGAAGACAGAGTAGACTTATCATTTGAAAGCAGTCAAGTAGCTGTTCGCTTATGTAAATATTTTTTTGTACTATTAATGTTAACGATAAAGTACGACTTGACCAAGGTTGGATTAATGGAATCAAAAACTTGCATTCTTTGAAATGTAGTCGAACTAACCTTGGAAATATGATCAGACACATAATTCTCGTCATCCTCAGTTAAGTCTTCATTATCTGTGCGATTTTCAGTAGTATCTTCATCTTCTTCACCGCTACTATCATCTGAATCTGAGTGAAAGTCTAGATCGTGTTGGTTAAGATATAAATAATCGACTATTCGTGACTTTTGAAGTTGAAAACTAACCAGTTTTCATATTATTCTTCGCGATAAGATTTAATGTTGTTGATACATATTTACTTGACGTACGTGACGACTTGCATAAGAATACGCTTGCAAAATAGTATTTTCAAATGCTTTAACTGTTGGTTGTACGATAGAAGTCGATGCTGCAGATGATATTTGTTTGGAATCGACTGGCCTAGACTGTTTGTGATGATGTAGAAATAAAAATTTATTATTGGAACCATTGGCGTTGTTATCACCAACTTGACATGTAATAGAATTTAGAAATGATACAATTTTTACGGATGTGGCCTCTTTTTAATACTAGATGCATAACTAGAAAAGAAGAAAAGTAACCAAATCAAATGTTGAAAATGTTGAAAATTAGTAGAATACAGGACATTGATGGAGAATACGTGATATAAAGTTAAAAATTATATTTATCTGACTATTCTTTTTTTTTTAAAGCGAACGTCATTTGAAGTTATAAGCAATAAATAAGATTTTTAGTGCCATTTTGTGAGCCGCGACGAATACATCTAAATAAACAAAATAACAATTAGATGAAACGAGCGTTGATCGTATATGAGTATTGTGTCAATGAATTTGTTGAAAAGGACATGTCTAAATAAACGTTTCTGATATGCTTTCCTATAGAAAAACATATAAAATTCAAATAATCGCTTCAATTTTATATCAGACTTACTTCAATGATGAAAAATCTACAGTAATAATTGCATAAATCTAGTTCGTTGGTATTCATCTAAGAACGTAAATGCGAGGCATGCTATTGATGTAAACAGTAAATGGTTTAACTATTTATAAGCCATAGGATTATTCTTCTCCTATTTCACTTCCGAGGAACTCCATCATTCATGATTTAAAAACTCTTGAAGAATTTGAGAGATTCTTATAAGTTCTACAAAAGAAAGTTATTTCTGCTCCAGTGTAAAAGCTACTGATTATAGAATTGATTTGTACATTGTACATAAAACTGCATTTGTCGTAGAATAATGAACCTTTTCTGTTACTCGAACGTATCCTAATATAACCTTGATGTTTTCACAAAAACTCTACTTCGTAAGTCGTACATTATAATCAACCCATCGAAGTAAACTGATGAACTTTATTGAGGCACCGTTTATTGTCATCCCTCTGAGGGTATTTTAATAAACTCTTTTTTGCCAAAGCGAAGAATATTCAACTTTTCACCGCGGAGTAACATACCCTTCACAAGAATCGTCCAGTGATCTACCCCTCTTCATTGAGTAATGAACTGTTACTTAAATTCCGTAGATTATTCTACATCTATCCGTTTAGTAATAAACTCTTTGGGTTAAAATAAAGGATAAACAGTCCTTTAAAAAATTTTATATACCCTTTGAAAATTAATGTATCCTTCCAGTCAAAAACCCTCCTGCTCATGAATCCCTCAAAGAGTTTATGCCATGCGAATAGACCCTTGACGGGTTAGTGAACCAAAAAAGCTTAAGGGCAAGCGTTGATTCTTCAGCGCTTTTTATAACCGTGTGAGACGAATCCGTTTCATCTAAAATCAATCATGAAAGATTTCCAGTATACCAAAAAGCCTTAAACAAGCACACATCCATGAAGGTTCTTTCCAAAGATCAAAATGAAATCGGGAGCGACTTTTCACAAATCAAGATGTTCATCATTCTTTGTTGAATCCCTGTTGTGAACCAGAGACGTGCACAGGGCAGGACGGTCCTGGCGTCGTGTCCTACCATGACCTTTAGGACAGGATGAGATTTAGATTATTGTCCTGTCCTGCCGCCCGCCAAGACGAAGACTAACAACAGGGCAAACACTCGCAGGATCAGGTTTCGATTTTTGCCCTGCCCTGCCGCCCGTCAGGACCAAGGTAGCTAGCAGGACAGGCACGGACAGGAGAAAAAATTATGTCCTGAGCACGTCTCTGTCTCTGATAGGAAATTTTTTTGTGTATTTTCCATTTATTTTTATTTTGTGGTAAAACGCTGCCTATTAGTTATTGTTTCTTTAAATAGTATCAAGTTGAAGTTATCACATTCATGCTACAATTAATCTTGTTCATATTTTTTTCTTGCCACGAAAGTTAAGATATTTTTCAATTTTATTGTATTTATAAATTAGTGACAATTTAAAGCGTATTTGTTGTATTTGAAAATAATGTCAAATACACTAAGCCTAAGATTACTAATACGAATATTTACTTTGATCGAGAATAGCTAGGGTTTGGAGTCCGAAATTCGGACTCACAATTAGTTTTCAGTCACTAGAAAAATGGGAATAAATCAGTAACGCTAACTAGGACATGACTTTAACGTATTGTCCTGCCGCCCGCCAGGACCAAGGTAGCCAACAGGACAGGCAAGGACAGGAGAGAAAACTATGCCCTGTGTACATCTCTGTTGTGAACACACATCTTACACACTAATTGGCTATACACCATAGAGGAGCGTATATTTTGACTGATCTCGTCAAAAAAGATTCTATATTGCTGTATGTCGTAATTGGCTAGAATTTTTTTCAGATTTAACCTTCCTTATCTCAGAAAGCTTCTATCATGAGATTCAGAATATATTTCTCACGAATCATCATCTAGCTATAAAGCTTATTATCCTACACGAAACTACTAATCACACTTTTTCAGTGAATGTAACTGTAATGATATATGGAAAATATTTTTTCTTCTACTTTCTCAGTGTCATTACAATGAATCCAGCCTATCAGCTATGTATTGATTTAATTTAATTTCTAAAATAGTAGCGAAGATAAACTATGCTATTTTTAATGTAGGATGCATTAGTCGCAAGTAATATAGGCTCAATGAACGCGCGACACCTTTCTATCCCGTCAACATTCGCTGTTACTCATGTTACTTAAAAGCCAATAGAATTTTTTTCCCGTTCTGTTAAAGAGAGACGATAGATAAATTTAAAGGCCAATTAATTTTTTTTCCTTCTCTTTTCTTCTCCATCGATATATACTGGACAGCCAATCGAATTTATTTCTTTCCTTCCTTTGCGTATACAGCACGTCCTCTTTCGTTCTCTTGCGCTGATTAAACGTAAAAGATGACAAATAACTGATTTTCCTTAAATATCGCTCATTTGCGAACAGTGTTTCTAACAACAAGAGTCCGCCTTTGTTACAAAGTGTCAAAGAACCTTGCAACATTGATTTGGCACTTTGTTTTACGCTTTGCTCAAGAAAACAAAGTGTCAAGTTGGCACTTGCGGAAAATTTTTTACACTTTCCTTTTTATTATATGTAACTTTAGAACTCCCTAATTAATTTTAGTCGAAATATTCTTCGTATACTGATATCTTCAAATTAATTGGTTCATTCGTTAAAGCATTTCTTAATTCATCACAATTGTAGCTATTGTTACTGTTATTTGAATTTATTTATTGTTGTTATTATCATTTGAATTCATCTATTGCTTTTACTATTATTGGTATTTTGTGAAACACGATCTGAAAGGAGTGTTGAAGTACATAGGGTAGAAATTTGGACCTCCCCCCCTACAGACCGTTACAGAGAAATTAATTAATAATTATTAAATTTCTCTTTAACGGTCTATGATGGTTTCTAGAGACTTCATACATCATAATACAGACCGTGAAACAGAAGCTCTACAGGCCATCAGTGACCGTGATAGACGAATTCCAGAAAAGAAGCTTCATCGTTTTTCATATTTTAATCCCACAGGGATTACGCTAACAGCTTTATTTATTTATTTTCGCTATTGTTGTGATCGAATAATCTTTACGTGTTTCTCAACAATTTATGCATATTAATTGCTCCTGTTATTTATTTTTAAAAATAGAAATCACAAGTAAAGCTGTTTTTTATATCTTCTAAGACTTGTCACCGCTTTCTTTTGAGAGCAGATGAACAAAAAACAAATAGAATTAATTGAACTTTGGAGTAGAAGTTCAAAGCCACCAACGAACGTTTTATCACCACCTGAAAATCAACAACAAATTCGTCCTTCATCATCATATACCCCCGACTCTATTCCTTCATGCATATTTGGCGAACCAGAAAATGAAATTGAAATTATTGCAAGTGAGCCTCCATGTTCATCATCAAACGTTGCTGATATTCAACACGTGTCTTCTTCCATTGAATACGAAACTCCTAACAAGTCAAATTTGAACAAAAAATCAAGTACTAAAATTCGTCGTAATTACCTTCCCGATTGAGAAAAGCAACCAGATGCTATGTACAAAACTTATTCATATGATTCTCTCTTTTCATGTAATTTTAATCGTTTACACCTTGGAAACTTTGTGACACTTTGTTTAAAAAAACAAAATGTCACTTTACACTGTAATGGCAAAAGTAAAATGTCATTTGACTTTTTGTTTTAGATTCCTATTAGAAACGCTGTTCATGATACTTTTTGCTTGTTGTGAAATACTCAATATAATATAATGAAAATTTATCGTTGGATTAAAGTAGTTTAATTTGAACTAAATTAAGTCCTCTGTTTCTCCCTTGATTTTTCTTTCAACTCAGTATATTTTTTCTTTTGACACTGATAAGCGATTACCTTTTGTCGACTATCCAGTAGAACAGAGTGAGTGTAAATCAGTGTTGGTGACGCCACCAGTCATGTACCTCAACAAAGAAACATAAGATGTTCTTCTAAAAACAAAAGCTTCTTACTAAATATATTTTTATTTAAATTAAATTAAATTCATCTAATTTTTGGTGCTTTGACACCACTTTCAAACCTCAAGCGTTTGATTGGTCGCAAAGCATGCACGAAAGTAGGTGAGTGAGAGCGAAACAGGTGACTGAAAAGAGATACATTATGATCCTAAGGTGTAGAAATATCAAAATTTTGATGACTATGATCAGCTGTGATAATAAGCATTCATTGACCTTTAAATGTTGTTCAATGTTTGTATTCATATTAATTAAAAACGCGATTTTTATAGCCTTGATTTAAAGCACAATGTCACAAAGTTGAACTGATTCAATGTGTCGTGCTGAATTTAGATAAAATCAGTGACTAATATTAAAATTAATAAAAGCCAGTGAAATAAAAAGCACAATAACAACAACAGTAAAAATCTACTCGGCGAAAGTCATGCTCTGTCATTCCCGCTAAACCATTAACAAATGGACAAAGACCACCCATGACACTATATAAGACAGTAAGCAATAATCATCTCAGTATTCTTTTTATTTCCTCTGATGTCCGTCACGTTCCGATCTTAATGATAAATGTTAGCATTTGCATTAGTGAGATTATACTGCAGAGCTGTTATTAGCTAAAACTCAGAGTTGAAGTATTGAAAACTGCGCGTGTGAACAATGATCTATTAAAAAGTTGATATTTTTTCATCACGAGTTTGAAAGAATGACTACAAACATCTTTATTTATTGAATAATCATTTTTTTTTAGCTCGAAAATGTTCTGTTCCTCAAAAGGCCCAACGAAGAACCTGAGAGAAAAAGATGACCTAACATCTCTGCATAGGATCATCATTTTCGAATTTCTATTTTTTTCCGTTTTACTTGCTGATTGTATTTCTAATATATTTCTTATTCTTGCGCATTTAAACAATGAGTATTTTTATTTTGCAAATTAAAGCAATAGAATGATAGGTTTTAGAAAATCATTTGATTCTTCTCTTCTTCAGAAATGTTTCCTATAAGATTTATTCGTTCATCTTCAACTGGACGAACACGTGAAATAATTAAATTTATTATGATTTTAAATCACCATATACTTATTTAGCATTAGAACCAGCATTACAATTAGAAAAAGACTATCCGGTTCAAATACGTTTTATTCCACGGTCATTTCATACTCAACAATCTTTTGGTGGAAATCTTATAGAACGAAATCGACTTCATGTGAATAAAGTTCAATATTTAGACTTGGATTGTCAACGTTTTGCTAAGGAACGTGGCCTTATTATTCGTGAACCAAAACATTCATTTGATTCAAGTATGTCATTAATTCCTGGTTTATATGCCGATAAACATCAGTTTTTTCATGCATTTGCTTCTCGTACATTTGAACTATTTTTTAAACGTCAATTAAATATTGAAAATATGGATGAAATTATAAAGCTTCTCTATGAAACATCAAGAAAAGATAAAACATTTGAGGAATTTTCTCAAGATTTTCAAAATTATCTTAATAATCAAGGCCAACAAGATTATTTAAATGCTGAAATAGAAGCTGAACTAGATCACGTATTTGGTGTACCGATGTTTATTATACGTGATGAACCATTTTGGGGATATGATAGACTTTCATGGGTTAGAAAAAGATTAGATTCACTTCATTCATAGAAAAACTTAGAGATTATCGATCTTTCAATGATAAATAAATTAAAATATTGTCACAGTCAAAGAGCTTATTTCTATTCAAAAAGTTTATTTTTATCATAAAGCAAATTTCTATTAAACATTCAAACCACTAATTCAGCTTTTTCATTGAGTTAAATGTTTCAATTTCTCATGACAGCGACCATTTATGTCTACTTGATTATATTCATCATGAAAAAATGCACTGAGGTAGGAAGAAAAACAATGAGATGGCTTTTGTGACGTACATCAATATTGAAGAAGAGAAGGGATCATTCGGTATAAATCTTCTATAAAAGGAACATGAAACACTTTTACGCATGATCAATAGATAATTAATATTGAAAATAAGAAGTTCAAATTCGGCATTTTTTTTTTCATCAGAATTTTTACTGGTCGTTTTTTCAAATAACACCATTATCATGTAGATTGATCAACACATACATTTATGACAATCAATTATCTAAAGATAAACAAATAATTGATGAAAAATGATTTGGGTGTGGGTGTTCTTCTTTCATATGCACACATACCCACACCCACACCCTATACTCTCCGGGGGCGATGTGATTCTGAAAAATGCATGGAAAGAGACTTGTAAAATACATTTTCATAGTATTGATCTCCTTGTTTCGCCACTTTTTTAGATGGCAGAGTGAGAAAAAATATATTTTATCGATGAATTGATTCTGTTTTATGCATTTTATTCTGTTATGAATTCAATCGTTATTGTTTTTCGTTCAAAAATTTAATTTGAATTATGAAAAAAAGGTATTTTCAAATGGATAGAATAGCATTACAGCAGTTTTAGTGTTCAAACGATTAAATGAGTTTGAGTGAATTGAAGATAATACTACCGATATGTGATGATATTGGCGCATGCAAATTATTTCGATTTTCAATCATTTGTTTCACAAATGGTAGTAGATTGCGAGGAAATTGAACTTTAACTAGTTTCAGCTGACGACGATGTTCAGCATTACTCACAAAGCTATCGACAGCAATCCAACCTCTTTCAAATGCTTCTTCTTCTTGTTTCGTTCGAGGTTTAGGACATAAACTTAAACATCGACAATACTGTGTTTGTTCATCAACTGTTTCAAAATAAAGAGTACCATTGAAGATAAATAACTGAACCAACCATTCGAGTGGTATAGGGACTTGAATTGATGGAGGAATGGTGAGAGTTGGAGTGTTTATGAATATAGACTGAGCTCGTTTTATACGAGGCAATAATAAGCGTAATGTAGTGATTGATGGTTCGTTGGATTGTTGTTCGTGATAAAGAGAGTTTAAACGACCAATTAGCCAATTGGCTTCAAGAGCACTGAGAAAAATTAAGTGTTTGTTTCGGTATACTAGGATCCATCGTGGAGGACGTAAAAATGGATTTAATGATTCTCCTTTAGTTTCAATAACACGTTGAAATTCAGTGGAAACCCAAATATTCTTTGACCAATTTTCGGATTGACACTCTCTAAGAAAAGTTGTACCAGTAAATGCATATGGCAAATGACGAAAAACATTAGGAAATTGTGTTAAATCCATATCACTATGCAAATCGCACAAACGTTTAATTTCCTTGTGTAGAATAGATTCACATGGTTTGACAGATGGTGGACGCTCCTGTTGACGCTCTTCTTCTAATTCTTGCTCTAATTCTCTTTGCTGTTCTTCATCTAGCAATTGTGATAAACGTTGTTTTGTTCCACCATAGTCTTCTAATCGTTTTAATACTGCATCTTTAATTTCTTTCGATAAATGATGATGATGATGATGAGTATGTTCATATCGCTTGTGATGAATTTCGAATAATGTTTGTAGTTCTTTTGCAGCACCATACATCTTGGTCAGTTCTATTATTTCAGGTTCACAACATTCTTTAGACAAATCTCTCATGATTGAATTCGTAAATTGTTGTTGATTATCATTCCAATTAATATGTTGAAATGCAGAAACTTTTCGTTGAAAGTTTAAACTTTGAGCAGCCCAATGATGTAATCCATCCCAAGTGGCTTGTTGAGTATTTTCATAGACCCATCGAAGGATGTCAATCAAATTAATCGGTTCATCGCCTTTTCTTCTTTTATGTTCGATAGTAATTGAATTTCTTTTCAAAGTTTTAATTTGTTGATGAACTTCATATGAACTCCAAAATGTCAATGAATGACCATTTCCTAATTTTCTCATTCTCATACATGCTTGAACAAATCGATCTTTTGTTAAACCATTTCCTAAGGTTACAGCGGCTTTAAATCCTACTGGAAACTTGAAATCAGTTCCTCGTGTATGAATTTCATCTAAATAGAATATGCAACGATCCAACCGTTCACTTGCAGGTGATGTTACAAATGGACAATGATGAGATTGCCGATCGCCAACGACTATTGAATCACAATCAAAGTAAACAACATAATCGATCTGGTTTCTATTGGATAGATTTAGCCATTTCACAGCAATTTCTCGGTTGGTTCCGTCGATGAATAATGCTCCAACATCTAAAATGACATTAATAGTTTCTTTGTAGTTGATAATTTTGTTTAAAATGTTTTCTGATGTGGAATTTATTAATAAAGGCTGATAGTTTTCATTTTCAGGTTGTAATAAATTATTAACAACAATTGCATCTGTTTTTTGAAGTTCTGGTAAATCATATTGACGAATATGAACAGGAAGTAATAATTGTGTATCATTCGTTCCACTAAATCCAGTGATAATTTTTGATCGTAATGATGAAGATAAATCCCAAGCAGAAGAAACTAATTTAAATGGAAATTGTTTTGCTTCTCGAGGAAATACAAAATGATTTAGAAAATAATTAATCACTAACATATTATATCGAAACGTAGGAAACAGATAGCGAGTTCGTTGTTCAAAATCTTTTAAATTAACTCCATTCCATTGTTCTATACAAGTTGGTAAATCATCTTCACCTTCATATAAAATCCATTGGTCATAAATGGATCTAGGATCAGTTTCTTCGTCATTTAACCTATTGAAACATTGTGATAATTGTAAATCGCTCAAGCCCGAATAATAATATGAGAGATGCGTTAATACTAAAGCAACATCTGGATGGCCAAACTCAGTTCTGTCGGCAACAACATCCTTGGCACGAAACGGTACAGCCATTAGACGATTAAAAGAAAGATTTGGATTGACACCATAATTAACTCGATATCTTTTTTTGAAAGCTACTAATAAAACTTCTGATGATAGCAAGCCACGAACAATGAGGCACAATTGAATATCAAGAGGTGGAAATTTATCAACAAGATTTTCAATTGATGAATATGTTTCTAAAATAAACGATGAAATAATTGCTTTATCTGCATAGCGATAATTTCTACTGTCGATCCAATCACTTGCAATTTTTTGACAGAGTAATGGAAACGGTTCATGAGCTTGTAAACGAAATTGTGGAAATCCACTTTTTCGTTCAGGCGATTTATAACAAGTTTTCTCTTGGAACATTCTCGATACATCTTCAGCGTGTTGTTTAACTAAGTTAAGAATTGATTGAATGGTTTTCCATCGCTCTTCACCTGCATCAACTTGTTGTTGACCACCAACAGTATAAATTAATTGATATTTAACGTGTAAAATTTCATCAGATTCATCTAATACATCGCGAGCATAGTTTTTTAACCATCGTTGAACTGTTAACATAGAACGACCGGTATCGAATTCATTTCGACGACATTTATCAATAGTTAGTAAATCAAACGAAAGAATATCCTCTGGTGAAGTTAATATAATGTCACATTTACTTAGTCCGTGTTTAAAACGTTCGAAAATCTGATTGATTTGTTGATCCTTGACGTTCATATCACGACGGCATGCAAATGGAAAAATGCGTCGATTAAGTAAACCACCTAATTTATATCGTAATGATTGATAATTGGTTGGAAATAACGATTTAAGTACTATAATACGAGCTAAACTCAAATTCGATGAAGATAAATAGACAGCTAACATGGGTAAAATGACTGATGTTTTTCCTTCACCCATATTCATTTGCATTACGATATTTCGTGCTGTTGAAGTATCGCCTATTATATTTGGTTGTATCATATGGTTTGCTACTTTTATTTGAATTTCGCGAATCGTTATATTCATTTCTAATTCCAAGACAAGCCAAGTAATATGTTCAGATGGTTTCCAATTTGAATGCGGTATATGCGAGATTTCGTTTTTAAAATCTTCCCGTTTGTCATGAATAGCGAAATGTAATATTCTTTCCATTTGCTGTTCTAATGTCCAATTGACAATAATGCCACCAAGTAATGTACATTGATTCTTAGTCAATTCGAATGCTGAAGATTTTTCGAGAAGTAGTGGTACGAGAACTGTTGGTGTAATTCTGAACAGGAGACCTGTTTCAAATAATTGTTCATTAGATAATTTAATAGATTTGGAAAATTCGTTGTACAGTTTTTCAGATTCATCTCGAAATAAATTGAGAAGTTGAATAATTTCTTCAATAGAAGGATTTTCTTTTTCATATTCATTGTGTGATAGTAGTTTTTTCCAACTTTCAGATAGTTGTTTGCTAAAATAATCAGTAATTTCATTTGGAGGATTATTTGGATTTTTGATAGAAGGAAAAATTCCTTGTGGGAATGCATTTTGTAGATTAGTTTTTCTAATGGATTGATTTGGTTTATTAAAAGGATCTGTATTGAGTTGATAAAATTTTTGCTCTGCGCTTTGTAAAAGTACCGGATTAATTGGTTCGCCTGTAGTTTTCATTTGTATCCGATAATGATCTGTTAATGATTCAAGAACAAATTGTTGAGGAGTGCAAGATACCTTGACATCAAATTGTGCTATTGGGACAGAACAAATAAGACTTTGCACGGATTCTAAAAAGAGTCGAAGTTTTAAGTTAGAGCGCCATGATTTCAATAATTTGTTGATTGTATCTTTTTCAGTGGATGTTGCTATGTCATCAACATTTGGATATTCACAATTTTCTCTCCAACATCTTTCAACTTCTGGTATAACTAGAGTCTTTTGGCATAGGTCACAGCGTTCACCGCGTGGGATAAGCGCCTGTACTATTGAAATTTGTTCGATGTTATTATAAAAAATAAAAGAAGGAAATGCTAGGAATTCGAACGATATTGTAGACACTTTCAATGTTGTCTTTAACATTTGCAAATAAAACGGTTTTATTTGACATCTATCAGAAATATAATGAAGAAATTTTAACAAACATTCAAATCGTTGAATGTCATCTGTACTTTTTCCAGCGGCTTCTCTTTTAAAACGATCGGCCAATTGTAATAAACCGACCCAAAGAGCTTTCAGTTGACTTCCTTTAATCAACCATTGAGACAAAGGTAGCCAATTTTCTTTCGAACAATCTGTGAGGTTTACATCTTCATCACTGTATAAATCATCCACAAGTCGAACAGCACTATAGTTAGTGATATTCGAACAATTATTCAAAGTCTGATGATAAGGTGCTGGCGAAGTAGCCCGTAAGATATCTGTCTCCATCTCTGCAGATAATCGAGCTGTTGGATTGTATGAATCTCGATAATCCCAATATAATTTCTTCAATAACATTTCATTATGCATTTTCCCTTGAAAAATCTTCGGCATCTCATTTGTCTTCAATTGTGGATACATAAAATTGAATAGTTGACTACTGTCGATTAATTTTTTTGCTATTAAATAATATCCGAAATGTTGCATCGAATAGGGTATACCGTTGGAATTCCAGTCTATTTTTTCCATACAAGTGAGATGTTCAGGATAATAGTTGACTTTGGGTGAAATAGATCCAATTTGTCCAATAATATATAAAGATAGTTCATTAAAAGGTTGATCTGACCAGCAACCAGCTGAATATAATAACTGAAAGGCTCTTTCCATTCCAGTCATTCCAGTATAGTGATCTGGTAAAGGGTGAGATGTCGTTGCGTGCAACAATGCTAAATAAAGCCATCCGGTAGGACTATCTGTCGATTGAAGTATTTTTAATCGATCATTCAAAGTGAAAACAAAGTATTGGTGAGAAAAAGACATTGAAGAAGGTCGATCTATGGTAACAGTTTGGTGTGTTTCGCGCTGACCTCTCGTGCTTAGAATCGTACCAAAGGGTACAATCAATTTTCTATATGGATAATGCTCCAATCTGTAATGCTTGACTGATAATGGTGATAAAAGAAGGCTAGATGTCAAACCTGTCAATGTTCCTAACCATTGATCTTGGTCAATGCACATATCTGAATATTCACGAGAGGTTATGATTTTCGTTGTACCATTATATTTAAAAGCAATTCCTAAACGAGATAAATGAATATGAATAATAATATCCGATCGAGAACTACAATCGCCCATCATATAAATATAGGGCTTGCTATCCAAACGTATGAAGTATTCACTAAATAATGTGTCAAAAAATGACGATGATTGATTAACTAATTTTTGCTCATTAGTCATATCGTTCGTAACAATATAACCCGTTGTTAATGATAGAATATAAGGTTTGTGATCTAAAAAATTAGCTTCTTTAAAATGAATAGGTCGAAATTCGACTATTTGACTTCTTGCGTTTAGCCAATGACTGTGGTTGGAGACGAAAATATCGGGCAGTTCAGTTTGAAAATGACTATGTGGAATCAGTCGAAAAATCTCATTTGTCGTTATATGTCGTTCAGTAATTATTAAGTGCTTGGTTCGATCATTCACATGAAATTCATATTGAACTTTTCCATTACCATGATAGGTATGCTTAGTAATATAAGTTTTAGGTGATTCAGCTAACTGTACTTCAAAAATATGATTACCAAATACACGTACAAATAACTCATTAGTTGTAATGTTTTCAGGTAAAAATCCTATAGTCATACCATCAACTAAAAAGGTTCCCGTGATACAATTAATTGATATATATCTTGAATCATATTGACAATCGTACCAACCATCATAAACATCTTCTGTTCGTTTTTGCCATTGCCCATTCATAGTACCTTTACTTCTAATGACAGCCCAATATATTGCAGAGAAATCGTTTAAACTTTTAAATGAAATTTTTTGAAGAAATTCGGCAACTATTGGTTGCACCATCACTAATGTACGTACGCTAAATCTCATAATATTTCTTGCAAATGAACTTATATTAGATTGAATTTTGTTTAGAATTATATTATCATGAGTAGTAGTTGCCGCTTTTAGTAGAGATATGGCATGTTCACTCGACGATAATAAACAGTGTATTCGATCTGAATGAGTTGAAAATGTTAAAATACAAGAGATACCAATGGTTACCATTTTTAAACGAAGATTTTCAATTTCATTAAAATCTGGAGAAGACGTAAATTTAATAGTTTCTGAAATAAGGTCAACCCATTTTTCGCCAATTCTACGACATTTTATTGCTAAACTAGCAACTTTATCTTCTCGTGTTGAATTACAAATAGTTAACATTCTCATAGTAATCATTGTAACTACTAATAATACTAATTCGCTTTGCCAATTTAGTTCACAATCATCTAAACGATGATCTAACCTTGCAGTCAACTCATCGATAAAATTATCTTCTAATAACTGCTCATGAGCTTCCGAACACCAAGAATTATCGGAACGCTTGCCATCTATTGCTAGAGGTCCATACTGCAAAATTGAATGCATTATCAGTATTGCTATACTCTCTTCAGCAATAGGCAATGAATCCAATTCAAGCATCGCTAATAAGTTCAACCATTGTAAACGATGTCCTGATCGAAATGAACCAAATTCTACAAATTGGATAGGTTTTACACGTGCTGGACACTCACATAGTTTAGCAATCACATGGTTTTGCACAAATTGTGTGTTATTTATCGTAAATTGTAATTGTTTGTAATCTGGATGATCAAGTTGAGGCGTTAATGCTAGACATTCATCTTTGATTGCAATAGTTGACGTTGGTGAAATTTGAATTTTCAAGCTATTTTCGTGCAAAAATTCGGTGACAGGTGCGGTTGCAATTGAAGGGCTAGAGTAATGTGTTTGAGTTATGGATTTTGTGGAAGACACTAATTTTACTTTATTATTATTTGGACCAGTGTAGAACGGGCCTAATTTACTGGCGTGAGGAGGAACGCTTAGCCATTCATACATATTATGCGATGGATGTGGATGAGGACGGTTTATAAATTGCCAGATAATATCGCGATAAATTCGAATCTCAATTGGCATTTGCAATTCAAAGATAACGGCTAATGCTTCGACGCGATCGGATGGTATTGGGCATTCAAAAATGTTTACTTTAATATTGTTAGCTTCTTTCTGAGTTCTACATCTTTCACATGTACGCCAAAAGGATCGATAACCATTGTATTCATATGAACATGTGCAAGAAAGATCTTTAATTGAATCCATCAGTCGTTTATATCTTCGTTTTGCCTCTGTGACTTCCTGTATTTTATTTTGTTTATCTAATTCAGCCTGGACTCTTATTTCCTGTAAGCTTTTCTTCATCGTCAGCGACTGAGAAGCAAAACATACACCAAATGCATTATCAGACTTTATATTTGTTAAAATATCAGGATATGGTTTTTGTCTAAATTCACTAAAATAGCAATAAAGATCATGAGCTCTTTTCATATCATCTCGATTGGGTAAGACCAAAAATTCGAAGAGATCCATAAGATTCGGAATTTCAATTGAATGTAATTTTAATCGTTCGAACCTTGGGTCATTACCTAATTTTTGATTCATTGCGCGAATGATTGTCAACGATGTTAAAATGAATCGACTATAACCTATCGGATCTTTAACTGAATAATAATTGCTTATTGCTGCACTTTGATAGTCTTCAAACAAGTGTAATAAAGTTTCGAAGCGATTTGCTTCACTATGAGACATTGTTGGACGATTAATCCATTGATTTAAATATAATTCAACCCAAATTTCTACACGAGTCAAGGCAATCTCAATAGTATAATTGAATTTTCCCGTAAATTCCTTCATCGATGGTATGTAATCATCTTGGTTAACGTAACTGAACTTATCATAGTTTTGAGAACCTGAAAAAAAATCGAATGTTTGACTCAAATTTTGATTTTTCAGATAAGCATTTAATGTGTGACAAGAATGCTTGTATATTTCAAAACCATTGAATTTTAAGTTATTTATCAATAATTTGTTATTTTTTTCTTTATTGATTTTAATGGAATTTTGCCAATCTGGCTTTGGAAGAATTTTATTAATTTTCATTTGTATTTGTTGTTTCGTAAGTTGCACCCATTGGTTCGAATCATTTGCATCAATAGACGATAATAAAGTTTCAATTTTATTCAGTCTTCGTACGATTTTTCGAATACAATGAACCAACACATCAGTGGATATTTTAGAGCATGTTTTGGAAAGGCAATATGT